TCTAATTGCTTTGCCATCTACGTGATACATCCTACGTATTTTTGCAATTGATTCCACGATAAACACCCTTTAAAAACTCCTTAAAAAAATATTACATATTTAGGAGATATTGTTACTTCTTAGGGGGGTCAATTTTGATTACAATTTTTGCTCTAAATGGGTCAATAGTTTATTACAATTTACAGATTAGTTCACCATTCTATTATTCTAGAGTTAAATACTGAAAGTTATCGAATCAGAACAGCGAAGAATAATCAACAAAATTTAGATAACAAATTAGATAATAAAAATACAGATAAAAAACTAGCCGAGAAATCTTTAAAAAAAGATAGAAAACAGGAGGTGAAAAATGTAAAATAACCAGCTATATTTTTGCCACAAAAAATCGGTAATTATAGTTGGCAATTTTCGGTATTTTTAGTTGGCGGTACACAATAATATGATTGTCTCTTCCTTTAACATAAATACAGTCAAGATATATTATCGGATAAAAATACTATCAAGGGGGTGATTTTGCCAGCTTATAATATCCTCTAAAACCCCATCAGTTACCTTAGATATTAGTTCGGCAGATACTTTAGTAGAATAGATCTCTTCTAAATGTCCCTGTATCTCTCGGTTAGTCATACCCCTTGCATACAGAGATATCACCTTATCATCAAACCCTTTGAATTGACGCGGGGAACTCCCTTAGGAATTAATAGAGGCTCAAATTCTCTCCCCTGTCTCTTGGAACATCTACTGTTATATTGCGACCTTCTTCATCTATTAGGGTCTTCTCATAACTGCCGTTACGCCTATTATCAGATTCTTTCTCATCCTTGGAGTGTTTCTCATAACCAATATGAGCTTCCATCTCTTTCTCTAGAATCTTATTGACTAGTTGTTTCTTTAACTCTTGCAATATTCCATCCTTGCCAAAAATTTCTGATGGATTACTTTGTGATAATAGTTCTGATACTACTTTTTCTATAGATTGATTTGTTATATTTATTTTCTTCTTCATATTTGCCTCTTGTAAATTGTTTGCTAGTAATCTTACTTTACTATTTTTTTTAACTTACACAAACTATATTACAGACTCCTATTAGAAGAATTTTTGTCAAAACTTCAGTTCTTTAATTCTTCATGTCTGCCTAAAAATTTTACCATATAACGGATCCAGAAATTAACAAATGTATTTTTATGGATCCATTTTATAATATATTCTTGGATCCGTAAATGCATATTTTGCTATTTGTGGATTTTAATTCTTCATGTCTGCCTAAAAATTTTACCATATAACGGATCCAGAAATTAACAAATGTATTTTTATGGATCCATTTTATAATATATTCTTGGATCCGTAAATGCATATTTTGCTATTTGTGGAGCCATATACTTGTTGTGAAATAAATGAAAAAATTGCAAAGACTATAGCCTTGAGGAATGCTGAACCAGTTATCTTTCGTTGCCTTTTAATAAAACCTGTGGTAATTGATAAATTATGAGCTGCCTCTCCTAAAAATTCTTTGCATAGTTTTGCCAAGTTTGCTATCTTTCCCATGGTATAAATCCTCTCAATTTAATTGTTGATCTTGCAAGAATTTATACCATACCTTAACTCACTTTCCATCCATATTTTATCACCATAACACTAATCCAATCTACCTTTTTTCTTAACTTAATGCGTCTGATTAAATAAACAAAGCCTTGTAAACAGTTTTTAGTTGGGCCTTTTATAGCCCTTCAAACTGTTCAACTGATATATTACCTTCAAGACTAGTTTCTATAGATTTCCTGTTATCATCACTTTCGTTATAATCATCATATTCCTCTTCCTCCTCTTCATCATCATAACCACTATCAGAGTCTTCAGAAGTAGAGAATAAGTTCTTGATATTCTCTATAGTACTATCTAAATCTTGCGGGATTTTAGGAGCATTAACATCTATACCGTATGCTTGGTAAGCAGGGATATTGTTATCTCCTACTAATTCAGATATTTTTTCTTCAAAATCATTTAGATGCTTTGTATTCACAACATAAGAACTCCTCTTATCTTGGCAATATTCTTCTTTTGGAGGTGGAAAAATATCTACTTTTGATTTAGGTGTTTCTTTAGTATAGTTTCTGACAGCTACATTAGTTAACGTTAAAAAAGCTTGAATTTGAGCAGAGGAGATACCTAAACTGTCTTCTTGTTGTTCAATTGAATCAGCCATTAGCTTATCATCAGAATCAATAAAATCACCATTAACGTTATTGCTAAAAATATTAGCATCGTCAGATAGTTTGATTGCTTTTTCATTTGTAGCAGTAGGAGGACTAAACCACTCATTGATCCATTTAACTCCCCAATCAAATATTGAGGCTGGCTTACTTGCTTTGCTGCTAACTGACTGCTCTTCTGTTGCTAGGTAATTTGTTGTACTATCTTGCTTATCTACTGAATCTACTGCTCTAGGCTTCCTTGGATGATTAGTTTCTGCTGTTACCTCAGCTACTTCGATTGCTGCTATCGTTTCTGAATTTAAGTTATATTCTCCACTTAAGTCACCTTCTTTATCTAAGTTATTTTCTTCATCTTTTAATATTTCCTCACCGTTTCTGTAGATTATATCATTGTCTTCAACTAACTGAACAATATCATTTTTTTTATCGTCTTCTTCATTATCTAACCTTAACGAATCTTCTCCATTCTCATCAGTTATCTCGACTGCACCAACCTCAGTAATTTCACTAACTTCACGACGATGACGCTGATGATTTGTATCTTCCTCTGATTCATTAATAGCTACACTATCCTTTAATGCTTTAGCTGGAAACACCTCTTCCTCACCAAAATAGAGTAGGGTATTATCGGCTAAATGACGTAGGGTTATATTATTAACTACCAAACTATCATTCTTTACTGCAACTTCACTTTCCTTGAGCGGCGTAGCAAGCCTAACTGCTACTGGGGTTGGTTTGCTATCTGATTTATAATGACGAACAAGATCATGACCATCTATTAAATTATCTTTGCCACTAATAGCATAGAGTTGATTACCACGTACTTGGTAGTCAATATCATTAAGAGTAATCTTATCACTATTAGGGAAGCGATGCGCAACTGAATATCCTTGTGGAGATTGAAAGACTAAAATATCTCCATTGCCATTATAGTTGGTAATGTTAAGGACCAAAAGACCATGGTCTTTATTAGCATTAATCATTGGTGCAGTATTCCATTTATTTGGTTTCAAAATTTCTTTCAACATCAATACTTTATCTAATACAGCTCGTTGGTTATGATGAGCTACCTCAATACTAGCAATTTGGTTGTTATCTAAAATTTTTAAGCTATCAGTATTTTTCTCAATTATTAAGAAAGCCTGTTTTCCTGCTAATTGGCCAGCTATTTTTAACCAGCCATTAGCTAAAGATACACTATTTTGCCAGTAATATTGTAATTCTGGTGTTGAAAATCTAACAGTGGCATTTTCTCTGGATAAGGTAGTCAATACTGGTTGTAAGTCTCCTATCTCAAGATTATAAAAAGAAGTTAGGTTAGTAGCCTTAGAATAAAATACTGGCTTATTAATTTCACCTATCAAACCTAATTCTGTTTGGCTGTTGTTAACAATGAGGTTACCTAAGAGGCCAATATTAAAGATTCGTACCGTTGGCCTAATGTCAATTCTACTGTAGTTTGCTTTTTTGCCCTTAGCTTGAAGAATCTCAACCTGTTCAGCGGAAACAATCAAAGATTTATCAATAACCTTATTATTTAATACTAACTGTAGATATTTTTTATCACCTTTAAGCCAAATTGTACTAAATGACTGAGCCTTAGTACTATAACTTGCAGTAGCATTACTATAGAGCCAGCTTTGAACCTGAATGATCTCTGGACCATCACTATTAATAGTATCTAGGATGGTATTATTGGTTGTACTAGTAAAAGCAACTCTTGTTGCTACAGCATAATCACGGATCCGGAAAGGATTACTATCACTATTGATGAAATATTGACTAGTAACTTGCTGGCTTTCATCTCTTAGTGAAAATAATCCCCCTTGTTGAGAAAATATTACTGAATCTGGATAAAGTTTATGTCCTACATGAACCGTAACGCTATAAGGAACACTTACATTAAGTGGGTAGTTAGGATTATGTTCTCGGTTAATCTTATCTATCTGCTGTAATCCTGATCTTCTAAAGTCTAGCATCATATCTCCTTCACATGGGTCAAAGCCAACATAGAAGTTTCTTTGCGCTTGACTCTTTGCGAAGCTATGGCTATTAGCATAAAGTGCTGCTAATCCTGAACCAGATATTCTTAATGGTGCTGTACCAACACAGTCCTTATATGTCCTATTATCTACCGAAGCTATTCTCTTATAGCCAGAAGTTTCCGCTAAAAAAATATTATCCTCTCGACAGATATTATGATAAGACATAAATTTTACTGAGATGTTACTAGCTTGAGATGTCCAGAATTTTTGTTCCCACTTCTCGCTAATTAAATCCCCTCTCCCTTCCTGACTCGGAATCCGAGGAACATTGTAGTATTGCCTTTCTTCTTTGTATATTTGGGTCATTTTAAACCCACCAGCTTCTCTAGTTAGAGTATGCTCTAAAGAACCTCTAGCCATATCTCCTATTTGTTGTTTAATACTAACCGGTACTTGTTCTTTAGTTACTTCTTTCCAGTATGAATCAGCAAATTTAGGCACCTTAACTATTACCCAACCATAAGGAATTTGAGTTTGGTTATTTATCTTATTTACCGTTGATAAGTTAATATCAACTAACTGCCTTTCTTCAAATATTGATTGTAGCTTATCTTGCTCAAATCCTAAGCTCATTAAAAACGCTTCCCAGAACGGAATATCTAGGTGATTATCACGTCTAAAGCTAATGGCCCCATAAATCAACTGTTCAGCTATCAAGCCTATCCATAATGGCGTAACTTCAAATCCTAGTAGCTCAGCTACCATTAACCCAGCTGTGACATATTGTTCGCCTAACTTATGTTTAATGGTACTACGGATTTCTGAATCTGCTGGTAGAGTATGAAGCTGATTGGTTAGTTCAACAATTGAGTAAATAGTTAAGGCCTTAAATATTGGACTTGTTATTGGTAATTTACGCAGTAACCCAGCTCTTCCTTCCGGAAACACTGTTTCTAACTTATTAACTAAACCTATATAGAGGTGATTAACTGTGGCATCTCCTGACAACATTGCTCCCATGTTTGCTAAACCTTCTACCTGGCCAGTATTAGCTGCACGGATAATATCTGGTAAAAAGAATAATGTCTGTACTGCCATGCCTTTTACCCAAGCATGGTTAGCAGCTGAAGCATGGATTTCCTTAGTACTTTTTAGGGCTTTTTCCTTTAATTCAGCTGTAATATCTGGATAACGGTCAAATTCTTGCCTCAGGACCTGCCAAGATAATTCTGCTAAACGTTCCGGAGTAATAGTAGTTGCGGTTTTTAATTCACTCATTACCTGTTGGTAATAAGATTGTAGTAATACTCTATCATCAGTTGATACTTCATTAATTGAACCAGTATCTGCTGGCCAATTATATTTCTTGACCATAGTTACTAATGCTTGGCGTTGGGTTTCAGTTAAGCCAGGTAAAACATGATGGAGATTCTCGGCGCGAAAGCAAATATGGCCAGTATATTGCTCAAAAAGGTAAGGATGCAAAGCTTCAAGATCAGGTACTTGTTCATCCAACCTGATTAATTGTCGTATTATTGCTACTGCGATTCCTTCAATGAGAGCATGATTCTCTCTGGCTAACAATACACTGTCAGGAGCAACTTGTTCTGGTTTCCAGAAAGGAGCTGATTTTAATTGATCTACTACTATTTGTGGTAGATCATCAGTTAAAGTAAATATTTTATATTCCGAGTTACCGCTACGCCACTTAAAAAATGCTCTAATAAACCCTTCCATCTCTGCAAAAATTACTCCTTTTCGAGTTTGAAATCTTTGTCGGTAATTAAAGTCAGGACTATATATTTGGTAGTAGTTGTCGTCAAACAAGGCTAAGAGTGCATAACGTCCATTGTCAAATAGCCAGCTTTGCTGAGTTGTTTGCTTTAAATCAGACATTTGACTTAAAGGTACTGGTTTTAGCAAAGTATCTTTTGGGTAGTCATCAAAGAATCTTTGAGTATTAACATAATGATTACGTAATATTTCTTGTTCCCGTGGACTATGATTATGTGTGCCTTCACTGATTATATCACCTATATGGGTATTGTAGGTGAGTATTGCATCAAGGGCTTTAGCACCTTTGGCAGAAAATTGCTCAGGATGCTTCCAAGAGGCCGCCATTGCTAGCTGGACATATGTTTGAGCTTGGTGAAATTGCTCTGTGCTGGTGGATTGAGCTGCTTCCAAAGGCTCGTAAGAGAAAAAACGGTTTGGTTTTTCTTCTTCCACACAGCGCCCTAACTCTCGCTTTTTACGACTCTGTGGATGTGGACTACTTCCACTATTACTCCCGCCGCTGCAACCTGAACCTGAGGCTCCTGCATTACTAACACCACCAGAGCTAGATGCCTCTTCTAACCCTATATTCCTTCTTTGTTCTTCCACTGCTTCAAGGTCTCTTGTTAACTCTGTTGTTGATTGTTGTCCTTGATTAGAATCAATAGGTTGATTATTTAAATGCTCTAGTTGTGGATCTGATTTATCTGGTGCACTAAGAAGCAAAGTCTTAATCTCTTCAAATGTTTCTTGATCTATTTCTTTTTCCCTAAATTTCTTTCGTGCTAAATCCAATGGTGTTTTACCATTTTTGTCCTTGGCATTAACGTCAGAGCCTTTCTCATCCACCAGCCATTTGACCACATCTAACCTACCAAATGTAGCAGCCCTGTGCAGCACTGTTTCACCATACTTGGTTTTAGCCTTAACATCAGCTCCTTTATTTACCAGTAATTCTACTACATCCCACTGACCAAGTGCAGCAGCATCGTGCAGCACTGTTTCACCATTCTCGTTTTCAGCATTAACATCAGCGCCTTTCTCATCGACCAGCCATTTGACTACATCCCACTCATAAAGTTTAACAGCCTGGTGCAGCACTGTTCTGCCATCATTGTCTTCAGCATTAACATCAGCGCCTTTATTTACCAGCCATTTGACCGTATCTAACTGATCAAGTAATTCAACAGCCCTGTGCAGCACTGTCCTGCCATCATTGTCTTCAGTATTAACATCAGCGCCTTTATTTACCAGCCATTTGACTACATCTAACTTCTCCTTTATTTACCAGTAATTCTACTACATCCCACTGACCAAGTGCAGCAGCATCGTGCAGCACTGTTTCACCATTCTCGTTTTCAGCATTAACATCAGCGCCTTTCTCATCGACCAGCCATTTGACCGTATCTAACTGATCAAGTAATTCAACAGCCCTGTGCAGCACTGTCCTGCCATCATTGTCTTCAGTATTAACATCAGCGCCTTTATTTACCAGCCATTTGACTACATCTAACTTACCAGATTTAGCAGCCCAGTGCAGCGCTGTCCTGCCATACCAGTTGTCCTTGGCATTAACATCAGCGCCTTTCTCATCCACCAGCCATTTGACTACATCTAACTTACCAGATTCAGCAGCACTGTGCAGCGCTGTCCTGCCATCCCAGTTGTCCTTGGCATTAACATCAGCGCCTTTCTCATCCACCAGCCATTTGACTACATCCCACTTACCAAATTTAGCAGCAAAGTGCAGCGCTGTCCTGCCATACCTATCTTTAGCATTAACATCAGCGCCTTTCTCATCCACCAGCCATTTGATCACATCTAACTTACCAGATTCAGCAGCACTGTGCAGCGCTGTCCTGCCATCCCAGTACCAGTTGTCCTTGGCATTAACATCAGCGCCTTTCTCATCCACCAGCCATTTGACTACATCCAAGTTACCAGATTCAGCAGCAAAGTGCAGCACTGTTTCACCATACTTTTTAGCATTAACATCAGCGCCTTTCTCATCCACCAGCCATTTGACCACATCTAACCTACCAAATGTAGCAGCCCTGTGCAGCACTGTTTCACCATACTTGGTTTTAGCCTTAACATCAGCGCCTTTCTCATCCACCAACCATTTGACCACATCTAACTTACCAGATTCAGCAGCCCTGTGCAGTACTGTCTTGCCATCCTTGTCTTTAGCATTAACATCAGCGCCTTTCTCATCCACCAGCCATTTGACTATATCTAACTTACCAGATGCAGCAGCAAAGTGCAGCACTGTCCTGTCATACCAGTTGTTCTTGGCATTAACATCAGCTCCTTTATTTACCAGTAATTCTACTACATCCCACCGACCAAGTGCAGCAGCAAAGTGCAGCACTGTTTCACCATCATTGTCTTCAGCCTTAACATCAGCGCCTTTCTCATCCACCAGCCATTTGACTACATCCAAGTTACCAGATTCAGCAGCCCGGTACAGCACTGTCCTGCCATCCTTGTCTTTAGCCTTAACATCAGCTCCTTTCTCATCCACCAGCCATTTGACCATATCTAACTTACCAGATTTAGCAGCACTGTGCAGCACTGTTTCACCATCATTGTTTTTGGCCTTAACATCAGCGCCTTTCTCATCCACCAACCATTTGACCACATCTAACTTACCAGTAAATGATGCAGCAGCATCGTACAGCACTGTCCTGCCATACCTATCTTTAGCATTAACATCAGCGCCTTTATTTACCAGCCATTTGACCACATCCCACTTACCAGATTCAGCAGCCCGGTACAGCACTGTCCTGCCATCCTTGTCTTTAGCATTAACATCAGCTCCTTTCTCCTCCACCAGCCATTTGACCACATCTAACTGATCAGTAAATGATGCAGCAGCCTGGTACAGTACTGTCCTACCATCCTTGTCTTTAGCATTAACATCAGCTCCTTTCTCATCCACCAGCCATTTGACTACATCTAACTGACCAGATTTAGCAGCCCAGTACAGCGCTGTCCCACCATAATTGTCTTCAGCATTAATCAATTTCTTGAGAGTTCTTGGATGTTCCTTAAGGCTATTCAATAAAAAACCTATAATCTTCACATTACCCTCTCTAGAAGCTACATGCAAAGCTGTTTCCCCATCCTTATTACAAAAATTGTTTCGGAATGATTGTTGCCATGAAGCTAACCATAGGGTTAATTCATTAATCAAATTTCCATAATATTTTAGACTATTTTTTGGCAATTCATTCCTTTCTAATTGACCATCAATGAAGGCTCGTATAACTTGATAATCTGCTTGCGTTAAAATCTCTTTTAGAAAAAACTTTTGTCCTTGTAGCTTTTGAGAAGCTGCTGCCTTTTTTAACCAACCTACTAAAAAATCTGCAACAAAATACTCTGCAAAGGTACGGTGGATAAAATGTGGTTTATCATCTATGATTTGTACAATTCCAATTCTTGCTAACATTTCATTTAAAAGCTTAGGTTGTACATTTTGAGGCTCCAAGCAACTGACTTGCTGCTCAGTAAACAATGTTTGTAAGGCTAGTTGTTGCTGGATTTCTTTTAAATTTACACCATCTTTTAAAATATATTTTTGTTCACCTCTAGGTATATTGCCATCAGCAGAAGTGATTTTTGCTTTCAACAAGATATCATATTTACTATCAATAAAACGTTCGTATAAACTCATCAGATTAAGCTTTTCAGTTAACTCCGGCTCAACTTTATTTGACTGATAGAATTCTTTAAAATTCTTCTCAAAAGCTTCTGCTAGCATTCTAGTTTGAAGTGGAATACCAGTAAATTCTTTCTCTTTATCACTAATTGATCGAGCTAACAATTTGATTAGAGCCTTAGCATAAGTCTTTAGTCTATCTTCATTTAGTTTATTCTTATTGCCACTAGTTAAGCTCTTTTGCCAAAACTTAGTTAAAAACTCTATTTGCTTGTCTTCAGAGAAAGGTTCTAACGTGTAAGCAAATACCTCTAACTTATCCTCTAGTGCTACTCTCATATGTGGCCTGGTAGTAACCAACAGCTTCTCTACTTGAGTCTTTCTTAATGTTTGCAGTAAGTCTATTACTACATCTTTATAATTTGGACTAATCTCATCAAATCCATCAAATAGTATTACTACTTTACCATTATTTTTACATCTATGTTCAAATAATTCCCGTTCTAAAGGAGTATCAAGTTTTAACAGTTTATTTGCTAGAAAATCAATTACTTTATCTATATCTTCACGATTAAAACTTCGCTTCTCTGACTCTTTTTCTAGTTCATTAGTATGATCATTTAAATCAATCCTTACTACCCATAAATGTGATTTTTTTTCTTTTATCTTTTGTGATAAATGAGTTAGCACTGTAGTTTTTCCCATCCCTGCTGTATCAGATATAATTACTATTTTATCATCACGATCATTTATTAAATCTTCTTCTTCAATTACATGGCTTTTTACTTGATAATTAGCATTATTTTTATTTTCTTCTCTATATTTTACTAAATTAGATATAGATCCTTGAGATTCCTGCCAAATTAATCTTCCTGATTCATCACTTAACCAATGAACATTACTTTTCGGATTATCCTCACATAATCGTTCAAATTCTTCCTTAGTATAAGCTAATAAATCAGGAAATTTTCTATTATCCTGGTCTTTTTGTATTTCCTTTTTAATCTCTACTTGGCAATTAAATATACGGTCTATATAGTAATCCCTATCATAACCACTGGAAATTGGTAATTTATTCCCTATCTTAACTTCTTCACCAGTAATAAGCTTAGTCAATGTTTCCGTATCTATTAGTTCTTTTTGATCTTCATTGATTAATTTATTTAAACTTATTTTCTCTCCTTGAAATATAACTTCTTTTTCCAGAAGTTTCTTTTGTGATTCAGTAGCTAAATCATCTAATGCAAAGTTCTTGTCTTTTTGCTCTAAATATTCATTAAGTAATTTTGATTTATTCAATTCTTCTTGAAACTTTCTTACCTTGTTTTCCTGTACTATAAAGATAATCTTTTTATGTGATTTCTCATCAAGAAGACTGGATAAATTACTTAATACTTTTGATAATTCCTCTCCACCTGCATCAGAAGAATATTCTATCACTAGTAAATTACTTATTTCTAAATAAAAAGCCTTATTAATTTCATCTTGTTGTTTTACATAACGATCAAACTTAAAAATAAGATAACTGTCATATGAGGAATAGTTTGGAATCTTCTGTAATGTTTGATAAATATTTAAGGAACTTAGCAATATACTTTTTGTATTCAAGAGAAGAATTTTTTTATCTTTGCTGTCCAAAAAACTGTTAAGATCAATAGAATCTTTAAAATATATATCAAATTCTCTAATATTATTTATTTCTCCTATACTTTGGTTTAATGATCTAACTATATTTCTTGGTTTAATAAGAAAGCTATGTTCTACAAAATTATTGTATTTAGGAATCACATCTTCTTTATAGTAGCCAAGCAACTCTGACGCTTGTATAGAAAGTAGTTTTGTTCCTTCTTCCTCGCCATATTTAGCTAATATATGAGGCACCCTTACAATTAACTCTGAGTACCAATATGCTGCTTCATAGTTTTTAAATGCATTTTCAATAATAGGCTCTAGATCTGTAGTTTCTTGAATTTTTTTAGTTATTTTCTCAAAATTCTCACCATTATCTGATTTACCATATGGATTACAATCATTCTCATATATCATTTGCATTGCTAAGTGAGCCAATTCATGAGCTAAAGTACCTAATAACTCAGCTTCTTCCACCTTAGCTGCTATATAAAGTCTTCCGTCTTTATAGTCAGTAGTTCCTTTCGTAGCTTTTGAAGCAGTAGGGTTGACACTTTCAATGCTTTTATTATCAAAATCAAAAACTATGTCAAGATAATCTGCATATTGAATAACTTGAAGAATCATTGAAATCTCAGGAATAGAATCTAACTTCTGATAAAAATTCTTTATTTTTTCGTGAAAATCTTCAATAGGTCTGTTTGATCTTGACTTCGATATTAAGTGAAAAATATGTGCTTCTTTCATTAAAGGAAAATAAGGAATCATAGCTTCTTTTAAAATATTCTTTTCTCCTTATCTATTAAATGAATATGTAAGAAGAAGTAAGAATAACGATTTTGATTGGGGTTAACTAAATTCTTTTTGTATTTAAAATATAAAGAACAAGAGTTATCGACATTTTTGACGACTAAACGGAAATGAATTCAAATAAAACTTTGACTTGCTACTCGCAGCAAAATCTTTAACTTTATTTAAGTCATCATTTGTGATTAATTGATGCAATTCATCTCTTGCTTCAATAAATTGCTTGAATTGTTTCTGAATATTATCATTTGCATTAAGGCCATCTAAGCTAAATCCACTAGGAAAATCAGAATCCGCTTTCAGTAATGCTAATACAGTGGCATAATGCTTATTTCCCCAAGCTAGATCTATAGCTCTTTGCTGTGTTTTTGGATTTTGATAATTTACCTCAGCCCCACATGCTTAATTTTTTGGATATAATAGAAGAAAGGGTACAAATCGTCGATAACTATTATTACATAATGGAAGAAATAGAGGAACGCTTAATAATTTAAGTTGATCTTCTGAAAGAGTAATTTCTTCTGTCGGTAAAGGTAATTGAAGACTAATTAAAACTGCTAGAATTTCTTCTTTTGTATATTCTGCTGCAATTTCTAAAGCTGATTGATCTTTACTATTTAAAAACTTTGATAATTTATGCTCTGAAACAAAATCTCTAATTTTTTCTAACTCATTATCTTTAATCCACTTATGTAATTCTTCTCTTGCTCTAACAAATGTTTTTAATTGCTCTGGAATATCATCATCTTGATAAAGGACATCTAACGTAAAATCCTTAGGAAATATTGAATCTGCTTCTAGCAATATCAGCATAGAATAATAATGACTGTTCTCCCAAGCTAGATCTATAGCTCTTTGTTGTGTTTTTGGGTTTTGATAATTTACATCAATCCCACATCGAATTAAAAAATCTATACTTTTCTCCTCACCGTTCAAAGTTGCTTGTAATAAGGGTGTATTGCCTTCTTTATTTCGTTGGTTTAATTTTTTAAATTGATCCTTTGTAAGAGTAATTTTTCCATCTGGTAATGGTAATTGCAACCCATTATTTAGTTGATTAAAAAAATGGACTAGTAATTATAATAATCAGACGACAAGTGATCAATAACTAACAACCTAAACGACGACTCTCGATCTTGATGATACTAGAACTCATACACAAAGATTATATAATTGTTAAAGAACTAATAAAACTAGAGATCGATCTAGGTCACCGCAAAATAGAAATGATAAGGGCTATAGATAAAAACGTGGAAAGACATTTTCTTTAAGTTGTTAAAATCTATAACCTTTTTTTACAGCAAGGTGCATAACTGTATTTTTATCATTTTCATCTACAGCATTAATATTTGCTCCTTCATCCAAGCATTCTTTGATTTCCTGAAGTCTATCTTCCTCAGAAATTTGTTTATTCTTTCTTGGTTTTTTACGTATAGCATTAAACAATTCTGTATCCTTAGATAGTTGATCACTATCACTATCAGAGCGACGATAACGTTTAAGCTGAGTAGGTTCTTGTATTTTTTCTATATACTGGCCAAGATGCTTTTGCTGGTATTCTACTAATTTATCGATTCCTGGATTAATATTGACCTGTTGAAGATTCTCTGGTGATAACTTACTATTATTTTTCAAGCTAGAAATTAGCCCTCGTCTTGATTTTAAATATTGTGCTCTTGACATAAAACCCCTCTCATATAAGTTAACTCTAAATAATTTCTCAACCCCTTGAATAAATGGAATATTTGGATCATTTTCTGGTTCTTCAGTTGAATCAACTATTAATCTTAGCCCCAGAACTAGCAAAGTCATTATTAAAAGTATAAATATTGTCAACTCCTTCTATAATTTCTTTATTTGTAGTAGTATCTTTAGATAGATCACGCCATTCTCTGATCCATTCAACTCCCCGATTAAATATTGAGGCTGGCTTACTTGTTTTGCTGGTAACTGAC